GTTTTTTTTTTTTTTTTTTTTTTTTTTTTTTTTTTTTTGTGTGTTTTTATTTATTTTATACACCAAAATCGCCCGCTGCATTTTGTTGGCTGCATATAAATGAATTGTATTTTTGTTGTTTTCGTACAAGTTGCTACAGTTCTTTGTGCCGATTGTTGGCTGTTGGCTGTTGGTTGGCTGTGTCGTGGTTCGTGTGTGTCGCAAGCTGTGTGAGTGACAAATGACAAAACAAAAACCTGTCGTGGGCTGTGCTCGCAGTGCTCTGTGCTCTGTGCAGTGTTGTCTCTTGTCTCTTGTCTGTTGTCTGTGCTGTGTGTGATGATGATAAAGATCTCGTTCACTACGGTTCACTACGCTCCTCTGTTTGTTATACAGGGTGCCGGTTGCAACAAATTGCAGCTGGCCGAATAACTGAATGACTGAATGGGACAGACTGATCCATCTCAGACTCTCTGACTGACTGACTGACTGACTGACTGACTTGGCTTACTGCACTACTTTCAATAGAAAGCGCTGCAGTTGGTAATTAAGATTGGCCAACACTAATTGCACATTGATTGACTTTTCTTGTTCGTATTTGTCAATGTGTCATTAGCCATACGCCAGAGCGTTCCAATAACTGTAAATGACTGCCGTGGAGGCCTGCAAAGGCATTTCTCAGCCCCAAATGCCTCAGCTTCGTATTCCTATAGCGTTTGCCGTGCGTTCTTATTGATGTTGCTTTCATTGTTGTTGCTGTTGTTGTTTTTTCTTTTTTTTTGTGTTTTTATATAATGTTTTGCATAATTTCTTACTTAAGAGTTAATTGAAAAACGAAAGAAGAGAAGAGAGAGAAAAAAAAAAACAAAGTCTGATGACGAGCTTAGCTCAAAGCCCGGCTCAGCCCTAACTTCGGCCGGGCTTCAGTTTCGGGCTCGACGCTCGACGCTCCACGGTTCGCTGCGCATTTGCCTAATTAATTTTCTTGGCACAGCAGCGCAGCAGCAGCAGCAGCGGCAGSGGCAAGGGAGAGGGAGTGTGCAGGCATTAATTACGACCACGTTGAGGAACAACTTCCATTAAGACAGCCGACACAGACACACACACACACACGCACACGCACCCAGTCTAGTCAAGCGCTTGCATATTATTTGAAATTAAAACAAATTAGGCAACCTGTAATTTTTTCATTTAGACTATAAAGTGTCCAATAATAAAGTAGGTGTTGCTTGTTGCTGCATTCCCAAAAATTATTTATGTGCGGCTAGAGTGAGAGCGAGAGCGAGAGCGAGACCGGGTTGGGGTGCGGGGAATAAATCCACACCTCATGAATTAACAACAAAGCCGCACCGCCCATGAATGCATTGCATTGTGCGGCGCTTAATGCAAATATCGTACAATAGTCGCCGACACGGCCGAAATTTTTGTGTGTGACTGAGCCGATAAACACCTGTGCGACAAATATTTGTGCGGTCTGCTCGGCTCGTATCTTGCTCTGTAAGCGCTATGTCACATCCTGTCTGTCCTGGCCGGCCGACAGTGTTTAGCTGCACTTATCTCTATCTAAAGCTATGCAAGCGGCTTTCATGTTACAATTTTGATTGGCAATTAATGCAGTTTTGGCCACGGCCAGCTGCATGGCCAACGGTTGTTGCTGCTTTAATTTAGACATTTGCCAGAGAGATATGGCCGCCTGCTGAGCCCAGGTGTCTCTGTGTGCGCCAGTGTGTGTGTGTGTGTGTGTCTCCAAGCTCAATAAAATGTCAACACAAATGTTGGCAATTCGCGCGGCGCAGTCGTATTTAACCAAGTCGCAATATACCCTATAAAAATCTATGATAGTTGCTTGCAATCAAAACGCACATAGATCACTGAGCCAAGCTATAATCTGCTGTTCAGATTAATAGCAGCTATAATCCCAGACTCCAGCTCAGTTGCAATCGTAAATGCATTGACTTCATATCCTCTATTTTATTGCAGGGTATCTGACTTGACTTCTTTTTGCTTTGCAATTGATTTATGGGTTTTATGGGTGGTCGTTGGGGTCGGTGATAAATGTTGGCAGCCCGGCCAGCAGTTAATTGCATGACTGCTGAGCTGATGATCTGCAGCCAAGGAGTGAGCCATAAAAGTGCTTCAAGTTAACTGACCACGAGGCAAGTCAGCATTTGCCGTAAGACTCGATGGCTACAATTTAATTACCAACTAATGCTTGAGCACTATGAAAACGTATTGCTATTGCCTTTAATTAATGTCTTAAGAATATATACATATATATATATGCGAGTTGATCAATGTTTACTTACTTTTTCTAACTCTAAAAGGTGAAACCGAAGCACTTGTATTGCCTGCACCATCTGCAAAGAGAGCGTAAGAAAGAGACGGAAGAGAGCAAGGATGAGTTATGCATATCAAAAGAAGAGATCATAAAATGCAATGCCATAAAGTTGGCTCTCAAACAAATCGTTTGACGCCCCGGAACCACAAACACTCGCACACACACACACACACACATACACACTCACATACACAGACAGAGCGCAAGAGCGCCAACTGTTAGGGTGACCAGATGCTAATTAAAACGTCAGTTTGACATTTGACATTTTTACGATGCTGCTAACTGGTGTGGCTGCCACTGTTGTCGATCATGTTGTTGTTGTTGATGTAGTTGTTGTTGTTGCTGCGCCAACAACAGCAGCTGCTGCTGCTGCTGCTGCGGCCGGCAAAAAGTTTAAAGAATTTCATTTAATGCCAAGCTGCGGCCAACTGAACCGCATAGTAAAATAATAACATAGAGAAAACATGCTATAAACATTTTTATAGCACAGCCATACAGCCGCAGTGCTCGTGCTCCTGCTCTTGCTCGTGTGTGTGTATGTGGTATCCAAAGCGTATTTTTGTTTAAGTAAGTGTTACTAAATGCACTTTTAAATGTTCAAACATGAACTCTGCAGCCGCACCACCGAGTGGTGGCATGCCAAAATGATTTATGGCCAAAGTACGCAGGCGCACACGGCCATGGCCAGAGCTGGAGCCAGAGCCGATCACAGTTGTCCAACACAGACAAGGCAGGTCCGGGTGCCCCCATTTGACTCTCTCAGTTCAGCTGGCATTCAGTGAGTTTGTACTACAACTAATAAACTAATCTGCAAGTGCATAAAATTAGGGCCACCGCCAGAGATTTCTCTTGGCTTGCTGCTGTTGCCGGCGACTAATACGCCATAAAACCAGCGACATTAAACGCCGCAACAGCAGCAGCAGCAGCAGCAGCAGCAGCAACAGCAGCAGCATCTCTGTGAGTGACACATTTACGACTGGGCAGAGCGGCCTCTGTCTGTCGTGTGGTACGAAGGCAGCCGCAATTAAAATTAGTTTTGCCCCTTAATCTCTTTATATGCAACAGCAACAGCAACAGCAGCAGCAGCGGCAGCAACTGTTGACGCGATTTGCACAGCCCAATTGCATGGATCGTTTTGCACTTTTTGCACGCAGCATTTCCGTCTTGATTTACATGTTCTCCAAAAAATCTCTTGTGGAATGCGCTGGGAGACAGACGGACAGACAAACGGACAGGCAGCAGCTACATAAGTATCTGCTGACTCATGTGTTGCTAAGCGAAATCTTGCATCTATATAGCTATATACTCTCTTATATATATTCTCTTAATCTAGAGATTGGCATAATTCGAGGAGGACTTTATATACACTTGCTGCCCCAGCGCAATAACATGATGAGTATGATCGTGATGATGATGATCGTGATGATGTTGATGATGATCATGCCATGATCGCCGTCAAGGTTGCCTTGATGGCATTTGCCTTTGCCTTGGGGCTATGACTCGGACTGCCCAGATCTGAATGCATTTAACTAACCCACGAGCACGACGATGGCTTTATTGTTGCTGCTGTTGCTGTAGTTGTTGTTGTCGCTGCTGTTGTTGTTGCGCCGTCGTCTTTTGCACACCCAAAGGCTGGCCATTTAGAGAGTGCAAAAATGTCATATGCATCATTAAATCGTTCTGCTTCATATTGTAGTCGCGTTGAGCATCGGTCGCTGTGTCGTTTGGTCGTCGCCTTTTGCTCCCCTCGTCCCCCCCCCCCCCCCCCCCCCCCCCGTTCGTTGTTGGCCGTGCCCATCCTGCAGCAACATGCAAAATCAAAATGCGTGCGAGAGCAAAGTATGGCAACGCTGTCCAATAAAATGACTAAACAACTTGCTCCGCTCTGCGCAGTGGCTGTCGACTTCGACTTGCAAGTGAGCAAGCAAATGCTCATAAATTGCTTTGGCTGCAGCTAAATTTGCTGTGATTTATTCTAAATAAAAGAAAATTATTCAATTGTTGTCATTGTTTTGGGTCAAGGTGATCGCAGAGAGGCATTCACACACACACACACACACACATAGGGGCATGTTGCTGCAACATTGTTGCCGGGCAACGTTTTGTTTACTTACCAGTGAATCGACTTCGGGATCTGCGGTATAGTAGGGTTTCTGTGATCTTATCTGAAATGAGAGGCAGAGCGCAAGAGAGAAAGAGAGAGATGGCATGAGTATAAGAGAGAAACATTATGTATACTAGTTTCAAATCGTTGCAAATATGCATAAGCAGGGGCAGCTGTTGCTGCTGCTGCTGCTGCTGCTGCTGCTGCTGCTGATTCTTGACGAACGCAGGCAGGTGGCAACTGCAGCAACTCCGTGACTAGGTCGCCAATGTTTTGCTGTTGTCCGTCTGGCGGTGTCGCCGTAGTTTTATGATGCCAGCTCACAGTCCAAGCGATAAGCGCTCACCAAGCTAAATACTACATATAAAACCAGGCAACAGCGACAACAACAACAGCAACAACAACAACAACGGGAGATGGTTACCAAAACACAGCATGGGAAACGCAACATTTGCGTAAAATTTGCTTTTGCTGTTGTTGCTCATCAGACATCAGAGGTGACTCGCTGTGACCATAAAAGCGATTCTCGTTTTTATTTTGTTCGCATTTTGTTGTTGTTATTTTATTTTTATTGCAAAAGGCAACAGAAATAAACCCCACACTTAGATAAAAATCACAAAAGCAATATGTGGCTAGATAAAAAAAATGGCCACACAGACCGCGACCGACCGACCAAAATGCGACAGAAGGTCAAATAAATGCTGCGAATTATTTGTTGATTTTATTATTGTTGCTGTTGCTGTTGCTGTTGTTGTTGGTGCTCTGGCTGTTGTCATTAGTGAAGATCGCTGTTCGGTCGTTCGAGGCGCTCTGCTGGCTCTCACGGAACTCTATGCCCCATCTGTGCGAGATCTGTGAGACCAGCTTGGGTCGTTCCTCAATAGATAGATAGCTCTATGTGTAGATAAAAGGCAAGAAGACATAACAAAACAGAGCTACACCCGCTGCGAAATTTCGTAGCAACGCAACGATCTCAACTCGACTCGACCTTGTGCTCGCATACTCATTTGTGTCTTTTCTATTCTCTGGCCCTAGCCTTGGCCAGAGACCACCCAATGCAAATATGCTTGGAAGGCTGCACTACAGGCGGTCGCAGCAGATATCTATTGATCGAGCCAATTGCAGTCATCATAAGTATTTCAAGTCTAACAAAGCAGGTATATTAACAGTTAGTTCCATATAAATCGACATTGCAGTGATATCTGCAAAGTTTGAGTCCTCTTTAGGTATTTCAAGTCTTTTAATGCATAGATAGATGATTGAAGTGATCTTTCTAGAGCTTAAGCTATAAAGTTTTCTATTTAAACAAATATATCGACAGTTAGCTGCATTATAGATCAAGCCAATTGCAGTAATCTCTGCACAAACTGAGCTATTTGAGTCTGTTAATGTATAGATCAACAATTGCAGTGATCTTTCTAGAGGTAAAGCTATGAAGTCTTCTAAAATACTTTTAGTCTGTTAATGGATTAATCAGCAATTGCAGAAGTTGAGCTCTGCAGGCGTCTATAAGGATTTCAAGTCTATTAGTGCATAGATCGAGCATTGAAGTCAGCTCTCTAGAGGTTAAGCTATGATCTCTTCTATTAATGCAGATATATCGACAGTTAGCTGTATAATAGATCAGGCCAATTGCAGTGATCCCTGCAGAGCGTGAGTTATAAAATTTTCTGTAAGTATTTAAAGCCATTGCATTGATATTTCTAGAGTTTAGCCTATCAAGTCTTCTAAGAATGCATATATATCGAAACTTCACTGCCTAATAGATCGCTTAGCTCTGATGACTTATAAGTACTACCGATTAAAATAGGCATTTCAGTCTATTAATGCACTTAATATAGAATCAAGTCTAATGATTCACACTTGCTGGCAAATCTCTCACTCCATATAGAAGCCACTTGGAGTATCGTAACGGCAATTAGAATCCACTGAGCCATAGATGACTAATAATTATATTGCGAGCGAGCAAACGGTTCGGTTCGGTAAGGAGTTGCAATTCCATGTTTCAAGTCGAACATCTGCAAATATGTGGGCATCGGGCCACAATGAAGCATGAGAAAAACGCCCCATTGTGCGGCAAACAGAGCAACAATTACAACAACAACAGCAACAACAACAACAATAGGAACTGATACAAGGCACAGCCATTGAGCATAGGCTGAAGTTGCGTGTGGAGAGTTTTGTGCCAAAGCTGTTGCCCGTTGGCTTTAATGTTGCATTTTCAAATGCTGGTTGGTTGCTGGCGTTGCACACACACACACACACGCACAGAGGCACACACATACAGTTAAAGTTGTCAAACTGGTTTGCATGATAACTCTCCGTTTGGATGGCTGACTGGCGACCAGGTCGCGCTTTTGCTTTAGCTGATATGAAAAGCACGAGGGTCGCGGTTTCTTTATGCAGAGCCAGAGTGAGAGGGAGATGGAGATGCAGAGAGCGAGGGAGATGGAGAGCGGGAGAGCGAGACATCGGGGAACTGGGCATATGGCACACACGCACTTTTCATTCTCCAAATCAAAATGGCTGCCCTCGCTCGCTCCTCCAAGAAACAGTCTCTCTCTCTCCCCATCTCTCTCTCTCTCGCTCTCTTACTGAGAGCACTCTCAGCGGTAATTACAAGCCGAGAGCCACTGATAAGCGGCTAGCCCAATGGCCCAACGAAATGCCGTTGTCTGCGATGCGGTTTTTAAAAATGTATAAATCATTGCCAACAAGCGAATACACAGCATGAGACAAGTCTATAAATAAGCCGGGACATGCCGGAACGTCGAGTCAGCAGCGGGCGTGAAAATAACATCAACATCATGAAATGAAAATCAAAATGAAAATGAAAATGAGAAAGCATAAGGAAAATTCTATATGAAAATTCTATATGAACATTTTGTCAACACAGCCGCGTGGGCGTCTGCAGCTGACAATTTCATATTTATAGCCAGACGCAAGAGAAGCACATTTTCAATTTCCAAGTAGTGTCCAATGCGGAAGCCCCCACAAAAGCCCCAAGCACACACACACAGACACGCACTTTAAAAATAAAATAGAAAATAGAAAACTGCGTGTCATATTCGCCCCTGGACTGTCGCAGGTTCTTTCTTTGGCTTCTAATCAGTTTCACATGGGCCGCTCATAAATTTCGCAAGCAGCACGGCGACTAAATAAAATCACTACTGTTTAGATACTGCTCTTGAAGCGCTTTTATGATGGGCCCCCCAATAAATGCAATTATACAACCAGCAGCGACTGCTGACAGCCCGTAGCCACCAGCGCTGGTTCGGTCTGGGGTTTTCGAGTTCGATTTCGATTTCGGGTTCTGTGTTCTGTGTTCTTCCGGTGACGTTGCCATACATTGTCTCGCCAAAAGATACCACACAGTTGCAAGATCGGCGCTGCTGACGTTTCGTTTGCTAGCCATAAATTGTATGGCATTTTCAAATCAAATTCGTTTATTTCATCAACCTGGCCACGTGCTATCAGCCACAATCGGGCCATAAAACGCCCAAGTAAAACCCAAAATACATATACACAAACGAATGTGTATGTGTATGTGTATATACTTAGAATTATGATTCAATCACAACTGCTTTTAATTTCTCACATGATAAATTTATAGAAATTTGAGCCACTAAAAACCGAAATAAAAATCGAAACGCAATCCACAAAAGAGCTCAAGTCTATAAAACCGCCGCACAAAATGCCGGAGTGTGTGTGCTGTGCGGAGCGGAGAGCGTTTGTTTTTCTTTTTGCTACGTTTTTATTATGCCAATAGCTAGGAGCAGCTCGTCCAAGTCCGCCCGCGTTTATAGCCCGGGCATTGTGTTGGCCATAAACCTGTGCGCGCTGCAGAGAGGACGAGGTGCAAGTGTATGGAGTGTGTGTAGGGTTGTGTAGTGCAGTGTAGTGTAGTGTAGTGTGTGTGTGTGTATTGGTGTAGTGAAGTCTTGAGCACTTGAGTAATGGCCATAAAGCGCGCCCAGCAAACGGCCATAAAGCAATTTATGCACCCTGCCATGTCGACTTTTGGAATCAGCGCGCACAGTAGCCAAACAGCCAAACGGCCAAACAGCCGGACAACGGGCGATCGCCAGCGCAAAGCCCCCGTCAAACCCCAAAGCACTTGAGAAACTGCAGTGATAACAACAATCGCAGTCGCAGTCGCAGTCGCAGAGGCAGACGCAGACGCAGACGCAACGTCAGCGCCGCCAAAGGTGGCTCTTGAACTGAAAATGAAACTGAAACTGTAGCCGTAACTGCAAATGGAACTAGTTCATTGTGCACGTTTCTCTTATTAGTTTATCTAAGCTAATGGCTTTTCTCGCGCCCTCTCCATCTCACTCTCCCTCGCTCTCTCTCTCTCTACACTCTCTGTCTCTGTGGCGCCTAAATTGCTGCACGTCGCTACACTAATTTTCATTATTACTTTTGTATTTCGCTGCGTGCCACGGCGCCGGACTCCGACTCTAGCCCTCTGCGCCGCTCAACCGCATGCGGGCACTGCCTCTGCCTCTATCATAAACAAACGCAAGACAAACGAATTAGCCCAGCAGCAACTATAACAACAAACATACGCAACATTTGCCCAGAGAGCTGTCGAAATGTTATCGAGTTTTTTATCTCTCTAGAACACAAAATTAAATACCAAAAGAAAAAAAAAAGTAAATTTAACTTCTCAACAGGTAACAATTTGAAATGCCCTTGCTGTGTATGTGTGCGTGTGTGTGTGTGTGTGACTATGTAATTTAGAAAAAATTGAAAATTTTATAGAACTGGTTTTTCGACCAGCTATAAATAATTACCAATTACTAATTACTAATTATTATTAATAATCAAACTGCTGATGAAGTTCTCTCTCAGAGATTCAATTGCTCCGCGCGAGCCCTGTCGAATCAGTTTGCTGTCTGGCCGTGCCTTGGCATGAGGCCATAACATCTGTTTCCAAAATCATTCACTTGAAAATTGCAGTTACCTCAGCCCGGTAACCAAAGACTCAAGAAAGCCTATCAAATTTCTCACACCTACAACAGTTGTTACAAGCCACAGCTAGCCACAGTTAAGTACCTA